TATGACGTTGACTTATTCACGCAACAATATTAACATAAGGTCAATCGTAAAAGTTTCACCACGCTCGAACAATGTATACTTACTGCTAATAAAAACATAGACATCATTATTCTAACGGAGGCCAACATAACGGATAGTATTGGTTGCCTGTATCATATAAATGGTTACCAAATGTTCACAGCCCTAAGAAAGACAAGAAAGGGTGGTGGTATCATCATATACGTAAGTAACAAACATAAATGTAACATAATAACTACAAAAACTACACATTTTGAAAACATTTTACTAAATATCACCACTCATTTTAACTATACTGCAAACATTTGTGCAATTTACCGTCCCCCGAGTTGTAGCAAAAATCACTTTATCGACGAACTCCAAAATACTATCAAAAATGCTCAAAATCTATTGATTTATACTTACTAGGAGACATTACGGATCTAATTAAAATATCAGATTGGTCAAAAAAGGTGGCTTATTAAATTAAATATAAATAAATGCACAGTCCTCCATATAGGAAACCGAAATCCTCGTTTCATATATAAAATCGATGATATACCTTTGGAAGAAGTTAAAGTACAAAAAGACTTAGGTGTGCATATAAGTAACGATTTAAAATGGAATCATCATATAACAGTTATAACTAAAAAAGCAAATAGTTTTATTTACCTGATTAGAAAAGCCTTCGGGCACCTTACACCAGAAATGATGCTAAAAACACATAAGGCATACATTCGACCTATTTTGGAGTATGCGTTCCAAATCTGGAGCCCCTATTTCAAAAAGGATATTGAGTTACTGGAGAAAGTTCAACGTAGATTTTCAAAGGTCCCTAGAGTATTGAAAAACATACCATATGAAGAAAGGTTGAATAAGCTTAAACTAACGACACTGAAGGATCGCAGAGAACGGGGAGACTTGATCGAAGCATATAAAATTATACGTGGACACTACGATCTGGAAAATTTTGACAGAGATTTATTCCAGTACTCAACAAACACACATCTTAGGGGACATCACTTCAAATTAACTATAACCGTGTCACATAACAACCCACACAAGTACTTTTTTAGCCAAAGATTGGTTGAAGCATGGAATAAACTGCCATCAGAAGTAATATCTGCACAAACTATTAACCAATTCAAGAACAGATTCGACAAACATCTAAAATAAGAATAATTACATATTTCAAAATAGGATACGGGCTTACATCAGTTGTTTTAACTGCTAGCCTGTTAAGTAATAATAATAGCTACGTTTCGGTGACCTTTTTGGGGAAACCGAGGGTTTTGTCTGTGCAATACAGGATCAGGTTATTAAGACCAACAACTATCGGAGATACATCCTAAAGGATGGCACCATCGACGTCTGTCGAGCTTGTCGCCATCCCGGTGAGTCACTTAGGCATGTCATCTCCGGTTGTTCGACGCTTTCTAACTCTGAGTACTTGCACAAGCACAACCTAGTAGCCAGAATTCTACACCAGGAGCTCGCTCTGAAATACGGTCTCGTGGATCGGAAATTGCCGTATTACAAGTACTTACCGGAAGCCGTGCTCGAAAATGTCCGCGCTAGGCTCTACTGGGATCGGGCCATCATCACAGATAGGACTAAGCCTGATATTGTGCTAATGGACCGGGCACAGTCAAGGATATTTTTGGTCGACATTACCATTCCGTATGACGAGAACCTCGTGAAAGCCGAAACAGATAAACGAACAAAATATCTGGACCTGGCTCACGAGGTGACCGAGGGTGGTCTGCCGGCCGAAATTATTCCTGTAGTCGTCTCTGCGAATGGGCTAATCCCAGTCAGCCTCTCGGGTCATCTGAGGCGACTGGGACTCCGTGACGGACCGCTCCGGGCTCAAATGCAAAAGGCGGTGCTCCTCGATACCGCCCGCATCGTCCGCCGGTTTCTTTCCCTTTCCTCCTAACCCTCGGCCGTTTGGTCTCCCCTGCCGAGGGCTTCCATCTGGTTGGATCTTATTTATTTATGTATTTTTGTATTTATTTTATTTTATTGATATTTATGTATATTTATCGTTTCATTTTAATTTATAATTATATATTTATATAACCCAACCAGATGAGAAAACTATATAGATACCCTAAATAATAATAATAATTAACATAAACCTGAAATCGGACAACCCTATAACACATAAATACAATAATGTGCTGCACAGTTTGGGCCTTCTATGTGGGATTACAGCACATACTAGGATCGAATTATGTAATAAAAAACTAAGTAAATCATGTATAGATCATATTTACGCTCGATCCCGCACACAAGACCTATACACTGCAGCAGTCGGAACAACACTAGCCGATCATCGGACTATAATACTGGCTTGTCTTGGAGCACGTACACAGGCTGTCTCAAAATATAAAACTTGCATTAATAACGAAAAGCTATTTACATTATTAGAAAAAAATAATTGGGAGTCTACGTGCAATATGACATGCCCAATTAAGATGTACAATTCTTTATACACAAACTTTATGGATTGTTATAGAAATTCGGCTTACACAGTAAAAATTAAAACAAATAATACAAGAAATAATAACTGGATAAATAAGAAAATTATTGGAGCATGTGAGTATAGGGACGAGTTATTTTTAAAATGGATAAAAAACACTAGTAATTCAGTAGTTAAACTACAATATAATAAGGCTAGAAACTACGCAAATAAGCTAATTAACAAATCTAAAAATAAAAATACAAAATCGGAAATTATTTCACATAAACAAAGCTCTAAAAATTTTTGGGAGATTTTAAATAGGCTGACAGGCAAGATTAAGTCTTCAATTGATGATGCACTTCATAATTATTTCGGTAGTAATGGCTGCACTAGCAAAGACATTGCGAACAAATTTGCTAGTACATTCAACAATAGTGTGAAACAAATAATTCCGAAATGTTCGAAATTATTGCTTGACAAAGCAATTTATGGATCTTCGGCAAATGTAACCATGCGATTTATCCCTGCCAATTCTAAAGCTGCGGAAAATATAATTAAATCAATAAACAGTAACAAAGCCCCTGGGGCAGACAGGATAAGAGTCATTGATATAAAGCTCTGTGCGGAAAAATCAAAACAGTTATTGCTAAATTAATAAATGCAAGCGTTATTACGGGTAAATATCCTCCCCTGCTAAAAATGGAATCGTTCGACCAATACACAAAAAAGGTAGTAGGACTGAGTATGAGAATTATAGACCAATAACGATATTACCTACCATAGACAAAATAGTCGAAAATATATAAGCGCACAAATCCATAGGTTTTATGAAAGTAATAATATATTAACTAGCAAACAATATGGTTTCCAACCTCAAAAGAATACCTCACAACTACTTTCTGCATTTACAGACAGTTTGTACACACATATTGACTCTAAAGAGCACATTCTAGTCGTTTTCATTGATTATAGCAAAGCTTTTGACACGCTAAGACACAACAAATTAATTCAAAGTTTAAATGATAGCGGAATTGGAGGAAAGTTACTAGCGTGGTGCGAAAATTATCTCCATGAAAGATCTTATCGAGTAAAAATTAGTGATGCTCTTAGTTTCCCTGTCCAGGTAACTGAAGGCACAGCACAGGGCTCAGTTATTGGACCTTTACACTTTCTCACCTACGTAAACAATCTTTCTAATTTTAGTAAACAGTGTGAAATCTATCAGTTTACAGATGATACCTGTTTAGTAGCTGCTGGGCGTAGTATAGAGGAGATACTAATGAAACTTCAAAAAGAGTTTGACATACTGACGAAGTGGTTACACGACGTCGGTTTAGTACTCAATGCCGCCAAAACTAAACTTTATATATATATATATATATATATATATATATATATATATATATATATATATATATAAGTAAGTAATAAGCCAAAACAGAAGTTCTTTTATACCTAAACTAATAGCGCACACACATCACTGCCTTCATATACAAAATACTGACAATTCGACACCCTGTAATTGCGATGCCATAGAAATTGTAAATAAGCACACCTATCTTGGTCTAATAATTGACGATCGGCTAAACTGGAAAGAGCATGTAAATCGTGTTTGTGATATATTAAGAGGGATAACAAAATTTACATTAATCAAACACAAAATACCTTACAAAACCTCTTTAATGCTCTATAAATCCTTAGCTGAATCTGTTATACAATATGGCTTTTCAAGCTATGGGAGAACCTATAACACATATCTAGATCGAATATACTCACTTCAGCTGCGCATTTTAAAACAAATAGTCCCTAATAATCTCAAAATTAATTTTAAAGATGATTATAGAAAACTATTTGCATTTTGTAAAATTATACCTATTCACGACAAAGTCGAACTAACATTACTAACTGAAAATTACTTTACTGAGAATTTTAAAAAGGTAGATAAGTTATTTTACTCCGCACGCAGAACTGATAATCTAAAACTGCAATTACCTAAATATAATAACTTATACGGAAAAAGAACTTTAAACTATGTTATACCTAATCTAATCAATCAGTTACCTAAATCTTTGAAAGACGTCATAACACGTAAAAACATAAAATATAAATTAATTTTTTTTATATACAATTAACTCTTACTAAATACTGGTAACACTTCTCGTTCTATATTGTTGGTTTACTTTACCAACATATTATCTTATTATAAATTTATGAAAACATATGTTATAATCATTCTGTATCACGATTATTTACAGAATATAATAAGTTCACCTTGTGATTTTACACTCATCGCTTAAAACTATTTTATATTTTTGTACCCACAAATAGTTTGTCAATTAGAAACATAACATTTAATGCACATAATTTAAGTTGATAATAATATTAATGTAACTTTGGTAATGTAATAATGTGTCGACAGCAATGGTGTACGGAAAAACTCTAATGTAATAAATAAATAAATAAATAAACAAACTTGTTTACATTTCGACAACTCATAAAAGTATAATTAAGTAATATGATCAAAAATATATTTTAGATAATAATCCTGTGACATGTTGTGATAGTGAAGGCCAACTGACTTCCGATTCTGAAAAAAACCCTTTCTGCGCGCCTATACTCATTCCTGAGAATGATGCTGTCAACAAAGAAGATGGAAGGGAATGTATGGAATTTGTGAGAACAGTTTCAACAAAGGATATTGACTGCACTTCATCAAAATCGCCCTCCTTCCCGGTATTTATTTTATAGATATTAAGTAAACGACAGGACAAACACTGGTCAGTTAGGTATAAGTTATTTTAAAAATAGGATTATTAACAAGTAAAAATACGAATATTCCAGTTTTAAATTTATTTTGACATATTTTCATAAAGTTACATTGAAAAAGAAATCATTGTCGGGGACATTACCGTGCGATGATTTTTTACGATTTCAAATGTTGCCTAAGACTAGATGAATCATTTGATATAGTTCAAATTACATTAACGAAGTAATGTACTAGTATAACTTATTTCAGCAATAGTCCGGTAGATAAAAGATTTCTTACAATGACCTTTGAGCCTACTGTCAGTGATCAAAAACATTTTAAGATTAAATACGATTCTATGAAATATAGAGCGAGTGCTTTTGAATCTCGCTTAGTCTGACTTCAATTAATTATTTAAATCAACTTACTGACAAATTTTCGAGTACTAAAACGTGGATCTGTTCAGCGTTTAGGAGAAACTAAAACAAATCTGCTCTTTAAAATAAACATTTAATTAGGATCAGTTTCTGTTTCGGTATCTGAGGAACTGCCATATGTCTCGCTTATTACACTTGAGATGAATAAATTTATAGTTTTATCTATTTGATTACCTAATCTATTTAATTTTGACTCTTCTTCATCTATTTCGACGTGATAAAAGTCACATAACAAACTTTACCTTAAAATTATTTAAACTAGATCTGAGTAAACACCAGTGAATAACAATAAATACTTTTGTTAAAAATCTAGTTTAGAAATGAAAAACAATGTAAGGACAAACCAAAGAACACGTGCACAAGAACAAGGCCAAAAGGTTTCCAATATCTTATGGCGGCGACTGCATAAAAAGTGTGCTAAAATTAATCAAGACGCATGAAACTTTATACCCGTTCTGGTGAAGAGTAGAGAAAAACTTTCAGCGTGGTCCACGTATTTATATGAATTTACCTTTGCGTTTATATAAAATACTATAAAAGAATTAAGAGTAGTCCTTCATATGATCTCATAATTACCGAAATACTTTCTTGTGGTAACATTGCACATTGATTATAATACAGCGAGAAATTCAGTTTACAAAATCAAACGAAGCAGTTTATTATTTCTAAAGGATTTAGTATGGTTAACATTGAAGTATTTATCTACATGAGAGTTAAACGAGTTCTTAAATATCTTTGCCGCGTCAATGATACAGAAAAAAATATTTTTAAAATACTACTTTTTTCATATATCGTAATGGGAAATTTTGTTGGGAAAATAAAATTGCGAGTACACCATGAAGGTACAATTTTTATTTTTTCGTAATATGTAATAATTAGGGTTTTTACAACTTTTGCCACTATTAAGTGATGTGATAGATTTTAAGCTGGGGCAGAGATTCTGTTGTCATGGTGATTGGTTGTCTTAATGGTTCGATAAATTTTCTCAAATGTTTTTTAATTAACGGCGTTATTTTCATTTGCATAGCTATATTTTTCCTATTTTTAAACTAATTATTGTACTTAGGTGTTTGTTATTATTCGTAGCTAGCTTATCTACTGGGGGTGGAAGAGATTGGACAGGATTCAGATCCTCCGGATGATTCCGGCAAATCTGGATCATCACCCGCCTTTTTTTTAATTCTAGTTCTACTGATACATATCATCAGACCGATACTGTTAATCCTATAGAACGTAAGCTAACTTTTAATTCTAGTTCTACTGATACATATCATCACCTACTTCCTAGAACGTTATATATATATATATATATATATATATATATATATATATATATATATATATATATATATATATATATATCGTTCTTAAATTTAAAACCTAAGAAAAAAGTGTCTTCTCTTCCCTCAGCAGCCAATCAGAATATATACGCTACAATAGTAATGACAGTGCACCTTTTAGTGTTCACATTATGAAACTGTCAGTGGAGCCCTCCTCGGGAACAACAATTAAGCTAATTAAAGTGGGTCAATTTCTTTACCAAAATAATATTCAGGAAATTTAAAAAATGGTGTTAAGAGAATAGCACGTAATCGAATTTCTATTGAAATTTCTTCACCCCAACTAGCTAACGATTTTGTTAAACAGAAACAGAAACTTTTTTATTCAATGTAGATTATAACAATACTTATTGAAAGTCACTTTTTTCATTTACCACTGGTTCGCAAAAAAAACCTCTGCCCTGGGAAGAACCAGCAAGAAACCCAGCGGGACTATTTTTTTCCAATAATAGCTTTGTCGTTTTGGACATGTTATAAATCCATTACTTGCTAAAGCAAATTTTGTAGCCGTAATTCCTACCTATGCTATTACAGTTATTCCAGTTGATATAGGTATGGATGAATTCGTTTCTGCATCAGAAGTTCCTTCTTTTACGGTAATAATTTGCGCTCGTCGTCTTAAGCGTAAATTTATTAAAGCAGACAACTCTGTTGAATGTCATGTCTGTGAATCCCAACACAAACGATCGTTATTATGTTCTCCGGTAAATTACTACCCTCACATCTTTTTGCCTATTTTACTTCATATCCTGTAGAACCTTGCCTCTTACCTACAATACAATGTTATAACTGCTGTCGTTTTGGACATGTTAAATCTAAATGCAGATCTAAGCCTCGTTGTTATAAATGTGGACGACCTCATGTTGGAGAAACATGTGAAGTTATCTCGGTCACATGTCTTCACTGTACTGGTAATCATGCAACTATATATAGTTCATCCTGTCCAGGATTTAGTAGACAAAAATCCATTAAAGTAATTAAGTCACAAGAACATATCTCTTATTATGAAGCATGTGAGAGTCCGCCCATCAAAACGAGCTTATTCAGATATTGCAAGCAAAACTCCTTCAAATCCAACTTCTTATACTAGTAATTAGAATTCATATTAAACAATTCCTATTTAAATAAAAAAAAACTTTCTATATAAATAGGAAATCACGTTCTATAGCATCCGATCATGGGAATGACCATATTGTCCATGAATTCATGATCCAAACCCCAATAAGTTCTCTTCCTAATGGAAGTGCTTACCCTAAAGATAATGTTAGCCATACTTCTCCAAACGAAAAAAAAAAAGATTTACTTATATCCACACTTACGTGTAGCATTTCGAAATTAGACGATCACTGTTTACCTCCTAATTTAACCCAGTCTCTTGAGAAACTATTGATGATCTTAAATAATATAAATAAGCATAGCTACGATTCTTCAATGGAACTGTCAGCAGTATTCAGCATAAAAAAGGCAATTTAATCTATCTTATCAACAAATAAATTCTTGTTGGATTATCAGAAGTTTGGCTTCACCCGAATTCTCACTTCCCAATTCCTAGTTTTGCCTGCCTTCGCAAAGACAGAAAAGATGGTTACGCTAGTGCTGTAATCCTAGTTAAGTTAAATTCATTTATCAAGGTTTCACTTCCTGAAAAAAGTGCGGAATTAAACGTTGTAGCTTGTAAATGTAATGATATTACCTACATACTTATCTTTCTATATTCTTCACCCATATCCATCACTAATCACTGAAATAAACTTAATAATTTCATCTATTACTCCTCCCTTATTTTACTAGCTGAATTTAATGCCCACCATGTCTCATGGGGCTCATGCAGAAATGATACTTTTGGCTATCTCTTAATAGAATTGTTGGATGAATTTGATATTTGCATTTTAAATGATGGATCGCCTATAAGGAGAGTATATCCATCTCAAAATCCTAAAAGTGTTGCTGACCTAACTTTATGTACCCCAAATCTTACATCCCGTATTAATTTTTATCTCACTCATATGGTAGTGATCATTACCCAATATTATTTTCATGAGCCAACTGCTCAATACCAATTAGAGTTCTTTCTCCGTTGTTAAAATTTAATATAAAACGAATGGACTGAGCTAAATTCTCAACATTGTCAGATTTGGTACTCTCTAAATTTTAGAAAAGTGATTCTAATGTTATTGAGACAAACTACAAAAACTTTGTTAAGTACATTTTACTCACCGCAGACTCATGTTTCACACGAAAATATCGCCTTCTACTAAAATAAGTTCTTCCCCATAGTGGGATGAGGAATGTACACTCAGTGTTAAAAAACGAAAACAAGCTGAACGTCTATACTCTTACAATATGGCTATTGAAAACTTTTTAAATAATAAAAAAATAGCAGCTCAAAAACTAAAACTGTTACCAGATAAAAAAAAGTGAGTTGGCTTAGGTTTTGCGAAAATCTTTCACCCCGCTCTCCTGCTTCTATATTATGAAAAAATATAAAGAAGTTGCGTGGATCATATAACGATGATAATTATTCATTGCAATGTGAAGCTTCTACTTGGTGCAATTCATTTACCGATAAGCTTGCTCCTCCTTTGTTCCATCCTTTGAGGAATTATGTATTTGTGAACCATTGATAACCCGACCTAGACTAAAGATTAATAATTTACCTTTTAATCAACTTTTCTTCAATGAAGAATTTTAATTGGTTGTTTAATATCTTAAAGATTCGTCACCAGGAATAGACGGAATCCCATACTCATTTATTTCTAACGCAGGATCCAAATCTAAGCTAATTTTTCTAGACTTAATTAATAATATATTTATTACAGGAATAGTCCCTAATACTTGGAAAATGCAAATTATTATCCTCATTTTAAAATCAGACAAAAATCCTAGTGATAAATGTAGTTACCGTCCTATTGCGCTATTATCAACTCTGTACAAAATATTGGAGCATTTAATTAAAAATCGTCTACAATGGTTTGTTGAAAATAAAGGTCTCCCGGCCAAATCTAAGTTTAGGTTTCGAAAGGGGCTGAGCACGCCAGATAGCTTGTCTGTTTTACCTCTGATATACGTTCGGCTTTATCCAGAGAAAAGTCGGTTGTTGCTGTGTTTCTCGATGTATCATCAGCCTATGATAACGTTGTCCTCCCTTTACTCAAGGAAAAGATGTTTCTTTTGGGTATCCCTTATAGAATTATTCGCATTATTTTTAAT